GAGGCCGCGACTCCGGGCCGCGGCAAAACCCTCTGGTTTGCCAGCGAGGCAGCGCTGCCCCGGCCCGCGGGCGAACCCCCGGCCGTGGTTAAACTTTGATGGGGCAAAAGCGAGGGCTGAAATGGGAGTTTATTTACTGGATTCCCATTAAACGCCTGGCTGGGGCCGGTCGGGCTGTTTTGCAACCGCTGCCGACTCAGGTGGTTTGAAACCTGATCGTGCGCTCATGTGGCCTTATCTGGGTCCGAGGGAATCGCCTCGGAACCTGCTCCGGGAGGCCCCACGCGGGTGCAGGGCTCAGGGAAGTGGATGTGGTTTATTTTCTCCCCAGTCCTGGGTTCTCAGAGGGTTAAACCTCCGGGAATGGGGCACTTGCTGCTGTTGGGCAGCTGCAGGAAGGCTCGGGGATTGGGGAAAGAGTGGGGCTCGCAGGGACAGGCAGGTTCCCCGGAGCTGTACGACCCACTCAGGGGCCCCTCTTAGGTCCCCAGTGCCCCCTGGTTGTCCAGGAACTGTTTGTGTCCCCAGTCCCACCTGAGGGTCACCCTGAAGTTCTCAGTCCCTCCTCGGGGTCCCTTGTCCCCACAGGAAGCCCCTGTAAGAGGCAGGGGCTGAACAAGACCCTTGTGGCCCCAGGAGCTGCTGGATCCTGGTGGGATCAGGCCAGTTCAGCCCTGGAAACAGGCAGGAGGAGCAGCCAAAGCACCATGGATCAGCTCTTTGGGGAGGTGCACGGCCCGAAACTTCCGGGGGAGATTTGAGGGGAGAAGAAGCACAGGGAGGTTGGAATGCTGCTGGAATGGGCTGGGGGGGGTTGGAAGAGCCTCTCAGCCCCAGCCCCTCACCCGGCCCCTCTCGCCCCCAGCGCCGCTCGCCCAAGGCCCAAGCGCTGCCACAGCCTGAGCCGACCCCACCATGGACACCGGAGTCATCGAAGGGGGTCTCAATGTCACACTCACCATCCGGCTACTCATGCACGGAAAGGTTCGTGTCCCATCCGTCTCCAACCCTCACCTGGCACGGGCTGGGCTGGACGGTGGGGGGGATCTCCTGGAGCTGCTGCAGAGCTGGGAATGTGCTCCTGGTGCCCGGCCGGCTCCTGGGGCGCAGCAGCAGCGCCATAAAAGCACAACCAGGGAGGAAAATAATAATGGGGGGCGGGGGAACAACCTGGAGGGAGCTCAGGTGGGAGCAGAGTGTCAGTGCACATTCCCTGGGTGTCTGGAGGGGACAGATCCCAAGTGCTCAGGAACTTGTTTGGGCTGTGAAAGGAGCGAGTTTAGACTGTAAAAGGAGCAAGTCTAGGCTGTAAAAGGAGCAAGTCTAGGCTGTAAAAGGAGCAAGTTTAGGCTTTGTGACTCCTGGAGTTTTTAAAACGCTGACTAATGGTGCTTTTGTTTCCATCCCAGGAGGTGGGAAGCATCATTGGGAAGGTAAGTGAGGAACCACCGCTCTCATCCTGCCTTCCCCTTCTCTCCTCGTCCCGTCCCCTCCCCCACAGCCACGCTAACGCCTTTTTCCTTTCTCTCCTTCCTCACAGAAAGGGGAGTCCGTGAAGAAGATGCGTG